ATTGAAGGGGCGGGACCTCCTAGTTTAACGTCCGTCTCCGATAGGACCGAGCCAAGTGGGAAGTTCGTGTGAATGCCTTTCCCAAGGACACAACGTCGGACCGAGGTGAGGCTCGAACCCCCGACCCCGCAATCTCACACGGCATCATTGAACCCGTGGAGTTCTTTGAGTGGGCTGCGCCGACAGTACCAATAAAGAAAAAGGATGGTACTGTGGGGATCTGGGGAGACTACAAGACGACCCTCAACAAAGCCACTCATAACGACAAATACCCAATTCCACGCATCGAGGATTTGGCGTATGCGCTCTAGGGAGGCGAACAATTCAGCAAAATGGATTTTTCGCATGTTTACACACAACTGTAGCTGGACGACGAGTCCACGGATCTCACGACGATCAACACGCACAAAGGCCTCTTCAGGTACCAACGTTTATGTTTCGGGTTGCGTCCTCCCCGGGCATATTTCAAAGGACTTTAGAAAGCGTGTCCCGGGACGTCCCCCACTGTGTCAACTACAGTGGAAACCATAATATAACAGGCTCGGTAATAACAGGGATCGGATATAACTGGACATTTTCTCTACTCCCACCATCCCTGTTATATCAAGTTTCCACTGTACCTAGATGACCTCTACGTGACCGGCAGAGACGACACAGAGCACCTGGAAAGCCTACGGAAGGTTCTCTCCATCTGCAAAGCGAAAGGTATGTCACTGCGGAAGGAAAAGTGTGAGTTCCTCAAGCAGGAGGTGTCATTCCTGGGCTATCGCCTTGACAAAACAGGCATTCAGCCCATGAACGACAAGGTTCTAGCTATACGGGAGGCATCTCGCCCTCGTAATACTCAGGAGCTGAAATCCTTTCTGGGTATGCTAAATTACTATGGGAAGTTCATATCTAATCTCGCTTCTCTACTTTCCCCTCTTCAAGCTCTTCTAAAAAAGGCCAGTCGTTGGTCTTGGGGATCACAGCAGGAGAAAGCATTCGACGCAGCAAAGTGTGCCTTGTCTAGCGAGAAATTACTTGTGCATTTCGATCCCAGGAGGGACATTACTATAGTATTATGTGATGCATCAGCCACAGGGGTAGGTGCTGCGCTCTGCCATGTGGACAGCGATGGTACAGAGAGCCCTGTGGCCTATGCAAGTCGTTCACTCAATGATGCTGAACGAAATTATTCCCAGATTGACAGGGAAGGATTAGCTGTGGTTTTTGCAGTTAGAAAGCGGCACAAGTACATTTCAGGTCGCCGTGTTAGGATTATCACGGATCACAAGCCTCTGCTTGGTCTCTTCGGCGAAGGGAAGACCATTCCATCCAGAGCAAGAGTCGGCTCGCGTCCAGAGGAGGGCAATCACCCTGTCAAGGTACGACTATGATCTCCAGTATCGACCAGGTCGTGACAACAGCGCAGACGCGTTAAGTCGTTTGCCACTGCCACAGACGGTGACCCAAGACGACGCTCCAGAAAAGATAATTAAGAAACTTGTTTACTCTGATAGACAGCTCTCCCATTTCTGTGAATGACATTTCTCGTGAAACAGTTAAAGACCCTGTTCTTACACGAGTTATGGGGTTGGTTAAGTCTGGGTGGCCGGAAAAGTGCACTGATGAACAACTGAAACCCTGTGCAACAAAGAAAAATGAACTCAGTGTTGGAGATGGTTGCTTGTTATGGGGTACAAGAGTTGTAATTCCTAGATCTTTACAAAATGATGTGTTGAATGTATTTCATGATGCACATGTAGGGACTGCTAGGATGAAGGCACAAGCCAGGTCATGGGTCTGGTGGCCTCAAATAGACGCTGATATTGAGAAGTGTGTTAAAGTATGTTACACTTGTCTGCAACACGCTAACGAGCCGGCCAAAGCTCCACTATTTCCGTGGGAATGGCCAGCCGAACCTTGGAAAAGGGTAGATCTTGATTTTTCTTGGCCCATTTTTAGGTAAAATGTTTCTGATAGCCATTGACGCTCATTCCAAATGGTTCGAGGTGAGAATGATGACTACAATTACTGCCTCAGACAGAATACTTGAGCTCCGTAAAGTGTTTTCCTCATTAGGCCTTCCTGAAACTGTGGTCACGGACAACGGTCCGACTTTCACAAGTTTCATGTTCAGATCTTTTATGAGCATTGATGGGGTGAAGCACATCACAGTCTCACCTCGGCATCCATCATCCACCAATGGTTTAGCCGGAAGGAGTGTATACTGTAGTATACATTTTCAAAAGGGGAACGGTCAAACTGATATCAGGAACTTTCAGAGAGAGACTAGGTAAGTTCTAGACGAAATATAGGACAACTCCCCACACTAACTACGACTGGTTTGTCGCCTGCAGAATGGATGTTCGGGCGTAACATCAGGACACATCAGGATCTTTTGCATCCGTGTCTGCCTCAGAAAGTAACCAAACAAATTGAATCACAGAAATTTCAGATTGATAAGACAGCATGTGAGAGAGAGATTGCAGTCGGTGACAATGTTTGGGTTCGTCATTTTAGTGGGCAGGGGGAGAAGTGGCTCCCAGGTATGGTCGTGGAAGCAACAGGTCCTTCGTCGTATAAGATCAGAACAGCTGCACACGGTTTGGTATAAGATCAGAACAGCTGCACGCGGTCTGGTATAAGATCAGAACAGCTGCACGCGGTCTGGTATAAGATCAGAACAGCTGCACACGGTCTGGTGAGAAGACATCAGGACCAGGTTTGGGTATCTTCCTCTTTTTCTTTTCTTTTTTTTTTTTATAGTAGAGGGTTTTACGGCGCTCGCAACTGATACAGTCATATATGAGTGCCAAGGGGTGGATGTCAACAGAGAAGTCTTTACAGGGAATCAGACTTAGACTGCTCACCTCTCTAGCTACAACAGCACAAGGTCTGCTTCAACTATCAAGGCACCCCAAAATAGCAGGTCACAAGAGAGTGATAAACATACAAAAGAAGTAGAGGGAAATGACAATAGTAAGGATCAGGAAAGAAAAAGCAGCAGTTCCCTGTTGTAGATCAGGCACAGTTATGAGCGTGACATGAGTCAGCCCATTTACAATTCTACTATGCTTGAACGAGAAATGTCCCCCCCCCCCCCCTTTGGGAACGGCCTAAAGACACTTCAGTCAGTGGCACTGCCCCAGGGGGTATCTTCCTCATTCGATACAATGTCGGGGGAAGAGATTCAAGTGCCGAACAGTTCCGACTCTAGCGAGTCTAGACTTGTTGATACAGAGAAGAATGAGGAAATTCCAGTTTCCATTCCAAACCAGAGAGTGAAAGTTCCATCCTGAGCTATGCCTCGCACTCGTAGGAATTCGAACCAATCGGTGGAAACTGAGTCAGAAAGAATAGAACCAGATTGCCGATCTGATAGCTCACCAGTGCCATTACCAAGGCGCAGCAGGAGAAGTCGACAAGCTCCAGATAGGCTTACTTATAGTTACTGTCTGTATGACTACATTTGTATAAGTATGAGCCAAGAAGCTTGGTTGTTATTGAATCATAGTTGAATTGATTCTTATTATCGAATGACTTGTATAATAACAACAACAACAACAACATCAAGTAGTGCAACTCGAACAATTGTGCGAGGCTGAAAGGTGCTCGCTCTGATGTGGTTTACTTCTTCTTTCTTATCAGACATCTATCATCTTTATCTCCCCTCCTTCTTTTTTGTGCTTGTGTGCTCTCTTGTAACACCTCTAATCTTCGGCACTTATGTGACCATATTGTGCTGCAAGTGACGTAAAACTCCTGATTAAAACTGAAAAAGAACAATCTTCAGTCAACTCAGAAAGGACACCAGTTACGCACCCTCAAAGACCAGACCAGAAACACATCAATTTATTGCATTAAAAAAAATATATATAAAAAAAAGGAAAGCTGAACCCGAGGTGGTTCGGTAATGGCAGTCGGCAGTACATTGAAAAAAAAAAATGAAACTCCTCGGGTCTGGCAGTGAGTGAGGTAATAGAATAATAGAGATCTAACTTGTAAGTATTCTTAGTCACTTCTGGGATCATCAGGAATGTCGAGTAGGCCTACAATAATATGAATACATGTATTATTTTAAGGCCTTGGTTAAAATTTTTTTTCTAAAAAATAGGAATTAAATAAGTCCCCTGGAGACCTTGCCGTCCCCCCTCCCTACAAAATATCTGGCGTTGCCAGATTTCAGCCCAATAACGTACAGGCTAGTGAATGCCCGTGGGGCTTTTATTTAAGCCTTAGTGAGATGCTCAAGTCTAAATATGGCAGATCGAAGGGAGATAACTGATAGGTAAACAAGTTCCCTTGACACTGGGCCCTCGGTTCTCATCATCATCCGGTGCCTTGCCGACTGGCGTGGGTGATCATGGACCTCCACTTCACCCTGTCCTGCGTTGCAGCAATGGTGTCTGTTGTTCTTGCTGCTCCCAACCATGTTATCATCTTATCCAGTATCTTTTCCCTCTGTCTGCCTATGCCTCTTTTTCCATCAAACTTTCCTGTTGTTACAATGTTCTCTAATGCTTCTTTCCGCATTGTGTGTCCGAAGAAATTTGCCTGTCGTTTTCTTATATTCGTGATAAGTTGTTTTCTATAACTTGCTTCAACCAGGACTTCTTCATTTGTTTTTCTAGCTGTCCATGGGATACGTAGCATGCGTCTTATGAACCACAACTCTGTCACTACAATATACAATATGTCGATACTACATACATGTATTTAACAGAGGACACGAAACTTCACTTTGTTGTACCGTCAGCCGTCCTATATCGCCAACTTCATGCTCGTCCCAGGATAGGCCGTATCAACAGTCAATAAACACACAGGTACTAACTTGTCAAATCAAATCCTCCCCCCCCCAAAAAAAAACCAAACAACTTTGTCCATGGCACTCATTGAATACAGAGACAACACATGTGCCCATGTCTTCAATCCATTCCAGATGCAGAAGGTCAAGGCCAAAGTCATCAAGAAGACAACACAATCCACAGACACAGGCAAATCTAGGTTCAAGAAGGGGTCACTCTCGATGAATCAGCACAAAGAGTCCCAGGACGGCTAAGATGGCATACTGAAAAAGAAATTAGAAAACAAAAATCAGAGAAATAGAAATACAGTGGGGTCCACTGAAACTGAACATGAGATGAAACCAGCAGTAAATAGAAAGAAAAGAAAATCCCTGATTCTCTTTTTTTCTTTTGGAGCAACCTCTCTAAACCACAAAAAAAACCCCCACCAAAAAAAACAACTGTCTGACCGAAGAAAATCTGGAGGTCTTACAGATTTCAATTCATTCAGCAGATACAACTGTATATGTGAGGCAGCGTGGTAAAATCAGGCTCTCGTCAATTTTTGGGCCTGCAGAGTTACTGGTATCATCTCAAAGCTTATTCATTAAAATTTGTCTTTATTTGAGTGAAAAAAATATCCATTTATATTGAATACAAGTCGAGATATTTACGAATGAATGGGGAGGGGATCACCTGTTTTCAGAGGTAAGATTAGTGAGAAAATGGCCGCCAAAGATTAGTTATTTCCTTAGCTTGAGAGTCCATGGTAACTGAAAATTTACATTGTTTGTGCCTTTAATCAACGTTTTTCAGAAAAATCCACACAGAAATTAGTTCTTTAATGGGCATGAAAGGTGTTGAGCCAAAAAACTAAAATTTGAAAAAAATTCACAAACCTGTGAAAAAATGCAAGTTTCTTCACTTTGATTATTTTGACGAGAGTCTGATTCCACCACGCTGCCTCACAATGATTTGGGATTCAGGAGTACAACCAAACACAGCAATACAAAATATATTATAATAATTATAATAGAATACTTTACTTTACTTTACTTTTCCGATCCAGCAGCCATTTGGGTTCTAGCCCTTCGGTCTGTCGATATGGCAAAGAATTGACAGGTTTTAATCAGCTGTGCTTTGTCGCTGTATAGAGTATTTCCGATGTCTGGGGAGGCAGGTAGGTAGGTGCTACGCAGGTCACAAAGTGCTGGGCAGTTAAAGAGGTGGTGTGGTACTGTTTCATCCAGGCAGTCGCACAAAGGGCAGTCGGGTGGGGTATCCTTGCGGATCCTATTAAGGTAGGAATGTAGTGGTATGTGTTGTGTTCGTAGGCGAAAGATCGTGACTTGTTCTCTTCTACTTAGGGAATTTATTGCATCTGTAGAGTTGGGGGCTGTCATGTGTGCAAATACAGTTCTTCCAGTTTTGCCCATTGCCCATCCATTGAGCCACTGTTCCCTGGTGTTGCATTTGATGATGTTCTTGGCTGTCTGTTGTGATACTGTGTTAATAATAATAATAATAATAATAATAATTGCATTTATATAGAGCATATCCATGCTCAAGAGCATGCTCTATGCACTTTACAACTATTATCACCCCAGCAGACCCTCTGAGAACACTCAGAAACATTCTCGGCTTCCGCGGAAGCATACAGTGCAAGCTGCGGATTTCACGCGCTCAAACACAATCAAACTGACAAGATCCGTTCACTGTCTATAGCCGGGTACCCATTTCCACCTGGGTGAAGTGAGGAAAATTTGTGCAAAGTGCCTTTCCCAAGGACACAACGTCGAGCCCCTGATGGGATTCAAACCCACGACCTTACGGTTGCGAGCCCGAGAGCCTAACCACTAGGCCACCGACGCGGGTTGTGAGGTTGTGTTTGTGATGCTCCCTTCTTTCTAATAGAACAAAAACTCCTAACCACCTGTAACAAAGCTCAACTTCACATCATCTTCACTAGTCCTAATCCCACTCTGACCACAACAAATCAAAGTAGCGTGTGTGACCTACGCTCGATTTTCAACTCTTGCCCCAATTCGGAAAATTAGGTCGTCTTTGTTTACTTTTCGTTTTGGTACAGGAATACATAATAATAATAATAATTAAGATCATTTCTATAGCGCCCACTCCCGTGTAAACACAGCTCTAGGCGCTTTACATAAATGCATGTACGAACAATATTCATGCACGCGACACACACACACACACACACACACAAATACACACACACACACACAAATACACACACTCATACACACACAAACACACACACGATATACACATACACACAAACAAACACGCGTACACACTCACGAACACATATAACACGCACACATGTGCACACACATGTATGCCAAACACACACACACACACACACACACACACACACACACACACACACGCACACACTCACACACGCACACAAACACAAACATACATCTACTTGCTTATCACACGCACACTGTACATAAAGTCTCGTAATATTTAACTACTCACTGAGGCAAACTCAACAGTATGTTGTTGTCAAAGATTACGCAACAGAGTGGTATGTGGAGCCAACAAGAGTTAAAACATGGCTCAAAGAGGCTTTAGTCCCATCATGAACAACTCCGGATACCATTGCTTAAAAGCTCAGCGAATGGTTTCGCCTACATTGGCACATTGAGCTCCCCTTGCCCTAGTCAAAATTCGAAGGGTTGCTGCCAAATGATCAAGTCAAACTTCAAGGAAGAGTGGATGAATGACCGGGCCACAGGTACGACAGGAAGGAGGATGTATGGCCACATGAATAAACCACTGGTCAAAGACCCAATCAATGAGTTGAGGAGGGGAGATCAATCCATAATCTTCCAACTTAGAACACAACATGTACCCCTCAACCACCATCTCAACTGAATTGGAGTAAAGCAGTCTGCTGCCTGCCCACTATGTGACTACCCCTCAGAGACAGTGGAACATCATCTGTTCTTCTGTAGAAAACTAACTGATTTAAGGGGATGTTTTCTTCCCGAGCTACCCCACACATCTAATTGCCTCTACTCCTCAAAACAACAATTAGAACAGACATGCAGCTATTACTGAATGGCATCATGCAGAAGAGTTAACGCTCAGATGCTACTGGATCGCTGACAACAACAACAACAACAACAACAACAACAACAACAACAACAACAACAACAACAACAACAAGGCCACATGAGAAGCCACACCAGGGAACCATTGATTTGAAATGCAGCGAATGGTTTTAGCATAGCAGTACAAGCTGGCATACTGGGCTCTCTATTTCAAAATTGAAGCATTAAGCTATATAATAATATATGAAGCCTGCTGACAAAATGAGTTACTTCTCAGATTCAAGCCTTAAGGAAATAGATACATCACGCTTATAGGTGAAGTTTTTACAATTTACAAACTTATGAATTAATAAAAGACAGGTCATACTTAAATAATATGGCATCAATAGAAAATCTGCAAATTTCACACTAAAGTTGATTTTTGGCCAATATCTCCATGTGTGAATAGCGAGAAGAAACTCATTTTGTCAGCATACCTCACATATTATGAATGTTGATGAGATGTCATCGAATCGCGCCTGTCGCGTGGGGTTAGGGGACCAACGATGGTGTTTTGAAAGAAAACAAAAAGCTCAGCAAGACACTACATGTGCAGGATCTATTAGGCTTGCACATTGGGAGGGTAGATAATGGGTGGGGGGGGGGGGGGTGGAGTGGTTTAGTTTTACAAGAGGTTTTACAGCGCTCCCAACTGCCTAAGGTCATATGAGCACCAGAAGATTAGAGGTGTTACAAGAGAGTAACAAACACAAAAAAGAAGGAAAAAAAAAAGGAGGGGAATAGGGGACAGGGTTTTTTATCCGGGA